GTTATCATTCAAGTAAAATTCAATAAGATAAAAAAAAAAATTTTTATTGAATTTTATTTTTTTGTTTTATAGATAAAATTACGACAAGGACAAGGTGTTATTCGTCCAGATAAACCGATCAATGAACGACGATTTTCATGTTATCAAGGTCGAACACCAAGGTATTCATATTGTGTAATATTTTCAATCAAAAAAAGAAATTTTATTTCTGTTCAATTTTTAGTTTATTAGCAATAGAAGAAATTTATGATGATTGGAAAAATATTCCTAATTATAATTATGATCTTCTTGGATTTATTAAATGGGCATTTATTCTACCAATTAAAATACTTTTTTATTATACAATTCCTGATTGTCGAAATCCACGGTAAGAAAAAATAGATTTTAATTATTTAATATCAATTTAAAATAAATCGATAATAGATATTTAAAATGGTATCCATTAACATTCATAATGACTATTGTTTGGTTATGTGTATTAACTTATATTATGGTTTGGATGGTAACAATAATTGGTTTTACATTTGGTATACCGGATAGTGTTATGGGAATAACATTTCTTGCAGCGGGTAGTAGTGTTCCAGATGCACTTAGTAGTGTTTTAGTTGTTCGTCAAGGTAATAAATTCAATTTAAATGAAATAATACGAATATTGTAATACAAACACTATTAAAGTTTGACTTGAATCGAATGAAAAAAAAAAAATTTGACCCATGTCAGTTACTGACACATACACTTTCATCTAACTACTTTCGATGTTTCTTCAGAATAGTTTAAGATTAATTTGTCATGTGATGAATTGTCTCTAGTACCGAAAAACTTTGATTTCTTAGGTCTTGTTGATATGGGTGTATCGAATACATTTGGTTCAAATGTATTTGATTTACTTGTTGGATTAGCTTTACCATGGTTTTTTAAAACATTAATTAGTGGTGAACCAGTACATATTAATTCCAATGGACTTTTGTATGATTCAATATTATTACTTGGTATTGTTATTATAACAGTAAGAGAAAAAAACAATTGAAAATTTTTTAGAATGTTAATGTTCGTTTTTCTTATGTTTTATTATAGGTGATGAGTTTTCATGGTAGAAAATGGTATTTAGATCCATTTCTTGGTATATTTTTTCTTGCTGTCTATGGAATATTCGTTATTTTTTCATTATTAATTGAATTAAATGTATTTGGTTTTGTCAATCCACCTATGTGTCCAATTTAATTGTTTTATTTATTTTCAATTATATCGTAAACATATCAGTTTTGTCTGCTGTTGTTTTCATAATATAATACCATGTGTTTGAATTTCGTAGTATTTAAAAATCTAAAGTTTAATCACTTTTTTGATCGTCTTATTAGCATGATGAAACAGATGATGATCATCGAGATTATTGGGTAGAATATAGTTTTTATAAATAAAAATAAATATCAAGGAAATGTTTTCTTAAATAAACGAGCCATTTGAGTCAATGGCATCTTCTAACAATATCAGCAAAATTCTCGAAATATCATGTTTTTTTTTGTGGATTTGACACTTCGAGAAAGGACTATTCTTTGAATCTCAAATTTTTAGAAGATTCTAATAACTTCAAGAGCTGTTCATGGACAAAGTTTTAGGCCAAAATTCGTTAGTGCAGATTTTTTTATAAATACGATGCCAAAGATAACAAAAAAAACCAGTGTCAAATCCGAATATATATGATGTCACAAAAACATACTCACTCTGATCGTTTGTTCGCGACAGAAACAACTAAATTATTATATTAAAAGAGTACTTTTATAATTAGAGTAGAATTTTTCGAGATGGTAAACTTTTCATCCTTTCTCTTCACTTAAAAAGCAAAGATTTAAGAAAAAAAACTCTGTCATACACTGTATCTTGACATGCTCATTCAAACAAAAAGAAATTTAATATATATAGTTCTTTATTGAATATCTTTCGAAAACGTCATGATATAGCGCTGAAAATTTTAACAGGCCTTCTCCATTATAGCCCGAATATAGTCTGAAAATGTGATACGATTTGAATGTACTCATATCAAGATCGATTTTAGAAGGGAGGGATGGTCGTAACAACTAAGGTTGACACAATGCATATGCGAAAGACGACAATAAATTATGGTTCACTATTCTGAAGCACAATAATATCTAAATAATGTCTTTCGATTAACATTTTTCCAGAAAAATCAAAATCAAAATGAATACACTGTTGACGAATGAATAACTTCTTCAAGGAACAATACAAAAATTATGAATAACAAATATAATTATTCCGCCAATAGTTCCTTCATATCACTAATGTTAATCAATCTTCGCTGTATGCCAGATAATTAGTAAAGCGACTAGCTTTATTACAGACGAATGAGATTTTTTACTCCGAAAACATTTATTAGCACACTAGAAAGACATTGTTAAGAAAGTTCACTGAAGATAAACTCGGCTATTAACTAATAGCCAGACATTTTCGATTTCATGTATACAATCGAATGGTTTCTTGCTTTTCATGTTTTGACCATTAGCTTAAATGATTTTAACAGTTTTTATTGAAGCATACGTTTGGCATCCTCCCATGGTGATAAGTCTGGTTTTGACTCAATGTGTTTATCCTTGAGATAAATTCACATTATGATGATGATCAGTATTGCTGCCTTTGTCGTCTGAATATCGGCATGGAGCTGCACAACAACATTAGCGCATTAATCTTATATGATATTATTGTCGTTTGCTTTTACAAAGTAGTGATTGGCAGGAATGCCTTGAGATCGAAAAACGTCGGCTATACGAAAAAAACACAAAACACGACAAGCATGGCTATCAACTGAAAAAGAGTTAGAATGGTATGTAAACTATTTTCTTTTCTTCCTATACTAATGTTAACAATCAATGCAGTGCGAGTGCCAGAAAAAAATTTTTTATCGTATCGTTGCGATTTGTTAACATTAGTATAGAAGAGGAAAATTGGTTTATATACCTTTTTAATTCTTTTTCAACAAATTATTACACTCGAAGTATTTCGTTTTTTTTTATATGTACTTGTATCGTTCGATAATAAAACATTCCTATCTATCGCTCATTTGCATTTACCAATTACTTCTTTGTACAGGCAACCACAAAATAACATTGTACATTCATAACGCATGTATGCGGTTGTGCAGTTCTACGCAGTGTTAGAAGTTGTACAATGCGGAATAATTCCGATGGAGATGTTGATGTTAATATACTTTATAAGAAATATCCAGACGAAGACAAAATTAACATTGTTCATCAAAATAATATAAACTTATCTCAAGGTAAAGCACATTGAGCTGAGTCTAGACTTGTTAAAACGAATGGATATCATCTGTATGCACCAATCGAAACCATAGAAATCACTCAAGCTAATGGTCAACATATAAAACTCAAAGAACGATTCGATGGTGTGCACGAAATCGAAAATGACTGACTTTTTGTCATCGACAATCAAGGCATCCATTCGATTCAAAGAAACAGCTAGAGAAATAAATAAATCGACTAATTTCCAATGGACTCTTAACTACGAACATATTTGTGCTAGTTCAACAATTTGTATTAGCCGATAATTCAGTATATTTTTAATTAATATTTAAAAAACTTTTTTTCTAATGCACTTACAAATGATGTCAGAATAAGAAATCTCATTTGTCTAGATGATGTAGATTTCAACAGATCGAAATTCAATTTCAACAGTTTTTCTTTTCATTGGTAAAGAACACCGACTCAAGTAGATACAGAGACTCATTCTTCTATTATTTTGAAAAAAAAATAGTTTAGGTCGTTGTATGCTTGCCTCATAATATTAATACTGTTGTTTGCGAAGTAGAGTTTAACTTCTTGCACTGTTACCTAAGTCAAATATATATAGTCTTGTTTCCTAGACATTTCGACGAGCTCTTTTGCATGATTGATATTCGCACATTTATATTGTGAGAAAAGAATTTGCTATCATGTCTGTTCGGGGTTATTCTCTAGGTCGAATTATGTTCTTTTTTTTTTTGTATTTCATTTGTTTTATTCTTCGAAATTCTAATTATTCTGAATTTTGATCGTTGTCGGATGAGGGATCGTCATTAGAGATCTAACATTCTTCTTTCCACTGAAGAATAATGCAATAAAAAAATTACTATTTCATGCTGAATCTACATGTTAACGACGTAGTTGAAAAGTACACTGATAATGCAAGAGGCTACACGAGTTACATTCTCATGAGAAATGAGGCGCCCATTTCATTACTGTAATAATGATAATGGTATTCTGAATCTACGGTCAAAACTCTAGCATTTCATCCTGTGAGCGCTGCCCACAGTAAGATGTATAAATATGATATCTTTTTAGCGCAGTCAATAATAGTGTCCAGACATACTATCAAGTATAATCGGTGAACACTTCAATACTTTTGTCATGAGTATGTCTGTAAGAAAAGGTAACAGTGGTTATGAGTTTTTCTTCTAATGTGTGTTCCACAACCTGTAATTGCGATTTATAGACTAAATAACACTGGAGCATCTACAAATGTTCCATACTGATTGAACAAATATTATTCATACAAGTAGATCCGCTTTGAAACTAGCAGAAGTCTAAAAGATATCGTCTCCTTGAGCCTCAGTTATGACCGCTTTATCAGACGTTTGACCTTTTCGACGATAGTCTCGAGAAAAATCGTTTGAAGAGATTCCGTCCTGAAACTTTACTGATGATTGGATCTCATGATTCTTAGAATGTTCTAAAATTTTCAGCGAAAATGATGTGCAAAGTCATTATCTTGAAAAGAAAACAACTTTTTTCGCTAAAAATCTTATGGCATTCTAAGAAGCATGAAATTTATCTATGCACAAAGATCCAAAACGAAACTCCTTCAAATGGTTTTTTTCGAGAGTATCTCAGAAGAGGTCGAAAAATATAATAAAATCAGCTCTATCAGTATCAAACACTAGCGGATGTTTCTTCACAAACAAAAACTATACATTCAGTATCAGTAGAAACGATTTATTCTTTTATTTGTTTCTCAAGTCCAGCAGGAAGAATTCGACTAGGACTTGTTTTTTGCAAGAACCAATCTATTAAGGTAGTAGGAGCTCGAGAGAGAGGAAAGAGTACCAAACTTGATTGCCAACCAGGTCGATAACGGATGTGTGGTGCCGTGTTCAGAACAGCATGTCGAAGAGCGCGCACTACTTTGTTCGGATCTTCAGCATGTTGAATAAAAATATTGGCTTTAGCCTGTTCAAGCTGTTCCTTCCAAAATTCTTCTCCCCAACGATCTTTGACATCGACTGGCACCTTGTTCCAGAGGTCGATTATAGCCTTGTCAACATCTTCGATAATCGGCGTTCGCATGCAACCAGGTTCAATGATACTGATACGTAAATGCCAGGGATACATCTCACGACGGAGACAATCCGAAAAAGATTCGAGAGCAAATTTTGAAGCAGCATACGCCGACATATTTGGTCCAGCAAAATATCCGGCGACCGAAGAAACATTCACCACACGTGAATCTCGCTTGGAAATCAGTAAAGGTAAAAATTTTTTCGTCATCATAACATGTCCGAAAAAGTTCACTTCCATAATGTTACGTAAAAAGTCCATAGATATCCAATCGATAAATCCAGTTTTACCCACACCTGCATTGTTGACGAGAGCATGGAGAACATTAGTTTTACTCTGAACAAGAGCAAAGACCTTGTCAATATCTTCCTGCTTAGTAATATCAAGAGAAAATACGGTTGCTCGTGACGACAGTTGACGACTTAATGAATCTTGGTTATTTGGATTATAAACACCAGCAAGAACGTGAAAACCATCATTGTCTAGTTCAATAGCCAATTGGTAGCCGAATCCAGTATCGCAACCACTAATTAACACATATTTACCACGAGGATTAATATTTGGTGTTGGGAAAAAATGTCGATATATTCGATATGTAATATAGAAAATGAAAATCAAGACAAGACTCCAATACATTGTCGTCGACTAATAACACAACAATCCTATTGAATATCTATAATGATTAATCTATATTATTACATGAAGTGTGTTCGGTGCATATCGACGTTCTATATAATAACAACAAAATGTCGTAGAATGCGATATGAAGTCTCAATAAACACAGCGTACATGTGTACATGACCTTGTTATTTGCTTAGAGTTATACAGGATAAGAAAATGAATCACTTGTAACTGTGTAAGAGAAAGAATCAATATTGCACGAGCTTCAAAGATAATCATAAAACAAGTGAGTATGCCAAACAATATCATAGAATAGCAACATTTTTAATGAATTTGCTTTTGATGCGAGCATCACACCGATTATATTTTATCTGACATACGTACACTGCTCAATAATTTGTCAACGAAAAAACCAATTACTAAAAACGACGATGAGTAGGAACAAGAAAACTTGAATCTCATTATAGTACTTCCTTACTTCAAGTGTTCGAATCTATTATATTCGAATGCCTCTCGTCTCATCAATCATTGACGAAAAGACGTCTCAGTATTACAATAAATAGTACTTTCATACGTCACAGTCACGATCGTAACTGTCATGGCAGCACTATAATGCCATCTTTCGTGTGAAGCTCACTTTTTGGTTGAAAAAACCTACAGAATCAGGTATACAGTGTATCAAATTTTATTATTGTAATACTCTAAAGTTCAGTTAATATACTCTAATTAAATATCAGCACGATATCTTTGTTTAGTTCTGATTGGAAGTTCACTCACACACTTTTTTATCGAATCAACTACTCACTAGAAAATGAGCAACTAGTGTCAGCATAAGCACATCAGAAGAGAAGAATTAGAGAAAAGAAAAAGACGGCAGTGTTTTATTTCTTTTCTTCATCTACACAACATAAAAATGTTATGTGGAGAGAACGAGCAAAAAAAAAGGCTTAGTGTAGATGACGATGCAAAATATTGCACATCCTTATATACATACATCACAAATTTAACAGTCGACAAACGTTACTTTCTACATTCATTTACCTTCGATGAGTCGCACTGTACTTGACAAGCTGTTGGCAGATGCATATGCCCATTATCAAGTTCTTGATCATCGTGGTTTTCACACTCATATTGCACATCATTTAGCATCTCTCTATTTTTTGGGTGCTACTGATGATAGACTCGAACAACTTTACAAACTTATGTGTAAAGATGTCTCTCCGTACGAAGCTTCACCACACGAAATCACTAGCGTCAATTGGCGACAATCACTCGGTGATGAACGTTTCTGCAAAGCATATCGAGATTTCTTTGATCAAGAATTGACAGCTAGTGGAAACAATTGGCAGCAAAAGTTCTTCGAATTATTACTAGACAATAAATCAGAGCCGATGATCAACAGCGTAGTCAGTGGTTTAGCTCATCCTCTTATTCATATTGGCTATGTATTCGAATTGAATAGTCGAATAGTAGCTTCTGAAGCATTGACACTAACTGCAGTGTGCTACAACTATCATCATGAATTTATCGATAAATTGAAAGCACCAAAAGCTGGCTCGAAATCAATTCTGGAAATCTTCAAAGATCTTCGTTCAGATAATCGATTGCCACTATTTGACGCACCAGGTGTTGACAATCTAGAACCGAGTGTAAAACAATCGATTGATATTGTTCTAGCTTATTTCGATCAATGGCAAATTAATGTAAACAATCTTGAAAAAACAATTGAAGATCTATTCGATTTGAGCGTTTATCTTTATGGTGCTACACATAAACATGATCAAATTGACTTTGATTTTTTTCTTCTTCATTTGGTTACATCAATGCATGCTATTCGTATGATATATCCACATGTAAATGATCGACAACTTGTCGAACATATTCTTTGGCAATTCTTCTACATTGCTAGTATGCTCTATATATCGCAACTTCGACCTGAGATTAATAAAGAACTCATCTACAATTATAAAATTGATGATAACACACAGAATTGGAATTATGTTATCGAACGATCAGTGAACACAAAATTAGCCGAAGATTCTCACCTGGTAAAAGTTATACGTGCATTGAGAGATGCAGAAACTGTTTACGGAATCAAAAATGGACTTTACTTGAAGACAGCTGTCAAAACTGTGGAAAATGTGAATACAGACAACATGTGGATCGGTGGACCAATTAATCCTCGACAGTTGAATATACTCAAACGTACATAGTTCATTTTTATTCTATAATTCGAATTGTTTCTTTTTAAATAAAACATCGTAGAGTTTAGTTTTTTTCTTTTTTTTCTTAGCCTGTCGGTATGATTAAACATTATCGTTACAGATGAAATGATGAGCATGTATTCTATTTCTTGAAGTGTGTGGATCTGACTCTTGGTCTTCTCTTCACCTCAATTGTAACTCACACCCAATCAATATGATGAGTCTTCTTTGATTGTTCTTTTGTTGATAGTAGATTTCGCATGTTAGATGTCTTTCCACAGTAGATGAATGATTTTTGAATTTACATCTGTGCACCTTGTTCGATTGATTCCGAATCTTTGACACATGTTGCTCGAATAGTAAATTAATAAATCAAGAGATTGTAGTGAATAGAAAATATAAATAAACTTCATCATCGATTCTCTGATGACATATCGGCAAAAATGAATGTGATACCAAACGAAGTAATTGTATATGGAAGTCAGTCAAATGTTTGAGAGTTACAATAAAGTATTGATGAAGAACATTCAGAATTTTGATTAGTTTCTTGAACAATTTATGAATAGAAATTTCCGAAAAAAAAAATAAGAAAAATCCTATGCCTATCTTCGATATTATTTCCTCTGACACATTCATTTGAATATGTCGAAATGTTATATGAAACCGTTTGCATACATGTAATATCAATAGAAAACAATATACAAACAGTTCTTAGACAAAGTCAATATTAGTTAATTGTGTCATCAAAATAGTTTAAATTTAGATTCGATAGGTCAAACAAAACAGTTATGTCTCATGAAATTGATAGCAAAGAATCTTTAAGTCTAAAATTATAAAACTTTATTGAGGATACAAAAATCAACATTCAGAGTATGTCTTTATCTCAAATAAAATATAAAAGAGTACACTTCTAAGAACATGTTCATTATCAATCTTCATCAACACTTATAAGTCGATTTGATAGTAGCAGCAGTGTCACATATCCAAGATTTTGGAGATGCCACCACGTCTCCCGCGGGAGATGCCGCATCTCGCGCGAGAGATGCGGATGTGGGTGTGGGGGATGCGCATCTCTAAAGGAGATCTTACATCTCCAGTGGTGAATGACCACATCTCTCGAGTGTGGGTGTCGCGTCTCCCGCTGGAGACGCGGCATCTCCCACGGGAGATGTGGTGGCATCTCCAAAATCTTGGATATGTGACACTACTCATTTTCTCTCATATTCATTGTTCTGTTTCTTCTTTTATTGTAAAAAATTCTCAAACTATTTCATAAACAAAAAAATAATCGATAATTCTAGTTTTGATGTTTTTTCGTTCGATATTATGATACCAACTTATCTATTTATTTAAGATTAAAGTTGATTTTTAACAATTTCTATGTATAGTTTTATTTCAATTTAGTAAATAATTGATTTTGATGAATTATATATAATAGTGAAGTACATATTTGTTGATTTTAACCGAAATTTAAATACATGACATTGATTTTTCAATCAAATTGAAACGAAAATGATTTATCTCCGTGGAAATTTGATGATAACTTCCAAACAAATTGATTCAAATCTGATTATAATGATTTCCGTTTACATGCTAGTTTGAGAATATTTAAACAAGCCTTTTCAACTACCCATTCATATCTTTCTAAAAAAATCAAAGTGAAAGTCTCAATGATATGAGCAAAATCGAACCTGAATACTAGAACATGCTTATAGTACTCATCTAAAAAAAAACAAAACGCCAAAAAATTTGAGTTTAATCCTTATTTTATTCAGATTTTTAGTTACAATAACTATAAAACGTATTTTTCTCCAATTTTAATATACAATAATCGAGTGTCAAAAGATTTTTCGATTAAAATCTATCTTTTCTTTCTTAGTGTCTAACATTCAAACAAAAAACTACAACATAAAAATTCAAAGTCATATAGATACAATTGATATAATACAAAAAGAAAACACTTATTTATCGGATATTAAAGTTCGTTTAGTCTGTTTCACAAGAGAATCTATTTCATCTGCCAACCATTGAACAGTCCGTGCTTTAACTAAAGCATCATGAATAGCAAAGAAATATCGAACCAAATCAGAAAAATATTTAATAACTTCCCCATATGTATTTTTATAGAGTAAATATTTCCATGTTAATTCAATATATCTATCTTGAATATTTAAAATTTGTTTCATATTTGTGCAATTTTTTGAAGAAGTATTTGTATCAGTTATATAACTGATTGTTGAGAAAGAAAGAATAGCAAGAAATAATTTCATAGTTATCATATCAAAATTAAGTAGACTTTGTATACGTTTAGTAGCAATTGCTACATCTGGATTACTAACTAATGCAACAGTATCATAAAAAGCAGGATAATTACATAATCCAATTTGATGATAAATGAAATTTGCAGAAATAGTTGCTGTATATTTAAATGAATAATGAAGTAAAATAGAACGATCATCTTCAGATAAATCCACAAAATCTCGATTGTTTTTATATAATAATTGAGTTTGATCTAATTCCATTCGGAAAAATTCTATTACTGGTGCACTTTTAAAACGTAATTTAAGAGGTAATTTATTTTGTTGGCACATAAAATTTTCACCAATTGATAATCCACTATGTTCATTATAACAATGTGATAAATTTGAGATAAGATTCCATTGATCGACAGTTAATGTTGATTGATCTGATTGTAAAAGATTCAAAGTTGGAAACTAAATATGAATAAAAAAAAAACAAGAAATGATTTGTGAACATTTCAATAACGAAAAAGAAAGGGATTCATATCATAATTTACATTTTATCCATATGCAATCATAACAGTTCTCCTCGTTCACTATATGATTTGTTGATGTTTTTACTCATGAATATTTCCTTCGTGTTCAACATCCTGTATATAGCCTTTTCACTCGCTACAAATAAAACATGTGAATGTGAGTTAAATTTCACCAAGATTAGAAAATCTACTGTCAATCATTCCAATATGTAGCCGACTGGACACCTGAAAGAGGTCATGCTTGTAACGGAAAAAGAAACCTCTGAAACTTGCATTCAACCTTAAACTCATTTCTTTTTTATTATAAGTTCCATACAAAATAAGAATGCACATAAAAAATGATCAGTGGACTTGTTGTTTTTTTTTGGTTTCATCAGATCTATCCGTTGTAAAAATTTCAAAAGTTTTTCTTCAGAATTAAATTTGAAAGAAAAATAGTTGTAAGTTTTTATTTTTAAAGAAAATAATAAATCCAATTTTTCAAACTTTTAAATTGAACTAATTGTGAAACTATTTTTAAAATAAAACAATCAGATATAATCTCACCTGTTCAAGTTGATTTAATCTAGCTACAACTGTTGATGTTGTTGTTTGTGTTGGATTAACCATATCATTTGTTTTTTCCCTTACTTTATATCTTTTTGAATAAGATCCTCGAATCATTTCAGCTTGCATACCATTTATAATACATTTACGAAGTCGACAAGAAGCACATACATGACGAGTATTGATATTTATTTCACAATCACCATTCCAATAACATTTCAATAATTTCTGAAGAAAAACAAACAATGAATATAATCGAAATCAAATTGATTATTTTCCATTGACCTGTCTTTGTTGAGCATTTCGTTTAAAAAATACTTTACATGAATTACATGATACAACACCAAAAAATGAATGTACAGCTGAATCTCCACAAATTTTACATTCAGTTGATACTACTGTTGACTGTCGTTTTTTATCAATTGATTTATTTGACGATGATCTTTTCATAATGAGAACATGTTTTTTTTTAAATTGATTTTAATCTAGAAAATGAATGAAAAATATTCAAATGATGATTATGAAATATTGTACAGTACGACTAATACAAAAGTCGAGCAAAAATTAGATTGACTTGAATTATACATGAGTGCATTGAGCTCACGACACTGATTATGAATATTTTTTTTAGATCTTATTTTAAGCAAAAAAAATTTAAGAAAAAACAATACTTATTCTAATTTATGCTAAGTATTTTTGGCTAAAATTGTTGTATCTACATGAGTTTGGTAACATTTGATAGTCGTAGTACACTTTGACTTTTTTTTCACAAGATTCATTTTTTATCAGACTAAAACCTTTATCTTGCAAATCTATCTCTTTTTTTGCAGTAAGACTTCAAACTGTTGTTCCCATAGCATTCGAACAATCAAATCAATAGAAGAAAAAAATATTTACCTATTCTTAACATTGTTGAGAAAATATTTTTTTTCTACATCAATTGCAAAATAGAATCCTATTTTGAAGTTTTTACTGCAAAAAATTTGCCTTTTTATTAAGTAAATACAATATTCAGCATCAGGTTAAAAAAAATCGTACTCAATAATCTGATTCTTGACAGAAGAAATATTCTCTTAAAATGTAATCGACATTCCACCTTAGCTAGCGTTTACTTAACTTTGCACTGAGACACGTATAGATTAGATTGTGACAGGAAATATTTTTTTGACAAAAATAAAAACAGGTCATTTGATGCAGTTTTTTTTTATTATTCTGATTCCTTTTTTTTGCAGTTAAATTTTCATTATATGATTCTATCTTGTCATTGATACGAACAATGTGTTTTTTTCAATAATGCTAACGATGCATAACTTTTTTCCTATTGATCGTATGATTTAAATTCCATGTAACAAAAAAAAAAAAGAAAGCAAAAGTATCAGTCTGATTACAAGTGAATCTTGTGAAAACAAGTCTAATTGGATTTCGACAATCAAATGTTTGCCAAACTCATGTGGATACAATAATTTTAACTAAGAATACTCAACGTAAATTAGAATAAGTTTTGTTTCTTTAATTTTTTCACTAAAAAAAATTCTAAAAAGTTAAAAACTATATATATATATATATACGTAATAAGTGTCATAAGCGCTATTGACTCATGTGTAATTCAAATCAATCTAATTTTTGCTCGACTTTTGCAGCAGTTTCAACTGAAACACTTCAACTCATCATCATACTTTTTTTACTATGTGTCTGTCTTATTCCCAATAAAAATCATACTTCAAATGGTTGTTCTACATTTAATTTTTAACTTCAAGAAACTTACCTTCAGACGGATAAGATACTCGAGGAGCAAGAAAAGAAATGAAAGGAGAAAAAAACAACCATAGGGTTTTTTTGTCTTTCTCTCGCCGGCGAAAGAAAATCGACACGTCGAAAAATGTGTACTTTATAGTAGGTCGTGTCAAAAAATCTTCTTTTCTCTCTGCACAACAGCAGAAAAAAATAGCAATGAGTTTAAGTTAAACTACATCAGTGGCGTACGCAGGGGGGGCGAGGGGGCCCGGGCCCCCCCTTGAGACGAAAAAGTCCTGGAGGGGGGTACAGGAAAAAATATTTTCACGTGATAAAAAATTTTTTGTGCCATGGCCGGCCCCCCTACGAAGTTGGGCCCCCCCTTGAAAAATTTCTGCGTACGCCACTGAACTACATGAAAATAATAGTGTATAGTACATTATATTTCTTCTAATGTCGATCGAAAAATTGAAACAAAAACTTTCTACAAGAATATCAAATATGTTGAATACTTGCTGAAGATATGTATTTAAATATTATTTTATATCATACATATAAAGTAATTTTTTAATACAAATAGTGTCATGTACGACATTATTTTTCTTCTAAAGAATCGATAGAAAATTTTCAAATTTTTTTTTTGTTATGAAAATCTACTTTGAAACAATAGGGATTTATGTAAACTTGATCAAGTAATAATGTTCGGAAACATATATTTATGAAGATTATCCTTCTCTCATTAAACTTTATTTTTCAATTATTTATGATTTTTATCAAGAACAGATGATCTCGTGTGAATTTAGTCATCTTAACATAGAAATATTTGTGTCGCATAAAATAATGTTGAACGTTGAAAAAAAAGTGTCCACCTATATAAGTCTCTTTTATTATATGAAAAGCTGAGATGAAAGATCATAATGTCATATGATTAACTTTGTTCATGAACAAAAATAAACAAAGATTATATAATATTCTATTGAGGACTTCAAGTTGGTTAAAATTATTTTATATTCTTGTCCATGCTCAGACATATCAATATTACATACAAAATAACCTATGAATTCGCTAATAATTCTTTATATCAAATATATATATATAGGGTGGCCCATAAGTAAGGAAATGGAGAAAAAATTGTATATCTCCATTAGAGCTCCAGTAAATGAGCTGATTTTTTTACTACTAATAAATACATGTCCAAGCTTTATATCCATGAGAACAAGCTTGGAAAGACTCTTTGTTGAGTATCACCAGGAATCTCAACAAAAAAATGTTACTTTTTCACAAATAGGGTAAAACAACAATATACAAGATGCTACAAAAGTCACTTTACCGAAAAAAAAATTGAATAGCTCTATTACGACTCGAGCAAATGAGCTGATCTTTTTACCTATAAAGAGGCTTGTTCAAACTTTATATACACAAAGACATGTCTAGAAAGGTCCTTTGTTCAGTAAATTATTTTTTTTCTCCTATGTGTGAAAATGTAAAATGTTTTTGTTGAGATCTCTGGTGATACTTAACAAAGAGCCTCTTCAAGTTTGTCTTTATGGATAAAAGGCTTAGAAATGCATTTATTAGTGAAAAAAAAATCGGCTCATTTGCTCGAGCTCTAATGGAGATATACAATTTTTTCTCCGTTTTCTTACTTATGGCTACCCTGTATATAGTAATTATTTATATCTTTGTTTGTTTTGATCGAACGATTCATACATGAAATTGGTCGAAATTGATCTCTCAATCAGATTGTCTCAGAAATGATTTAACGATTTTCTTTTACATGTTAGGTTGGGAATATTTAAACAATTCTTTTGAGCTGCCCACTGATATCTGTCGGAAAAATGAAAATTAAACTCTCAATGATAAGAGCAAACCCGAACCTGCATACTAGAAAGATGCAATTGTATCTGTGTAAAAAAAAACAGGAAATTCGATTTCAATCCTAATTTTATTCAGATTTTTAGTCATAATAGTCATAAAATGCGTTTTTCTTCAGTCTTAACTTATAAACTTTAACTTTTGATGATATTTTCGGACTACTCAAATATCAAATCTATGCCAAGAAATAATTCTTAAATCGACGTTCGCATACAAAAAATTCTAATCGATTGATAAATTTCTCATTTGTTTTTATTCTTTTCTGAAATATTTGAACAAATCACAAAACAATTTTATTATTAGAGTACCAAATGATTTTTGGATTAAAATCTATCTTTTCTTTCTTAGTATCTACCGTTCAAACAAACAACTAAATAAATATTCAATATCATATACACTATCTAAAAAAAATTATTTGGGTACTTTTGAGTCCGATTTTGTGTTGCAAATTTCACAATAAAGAAACAACATATTCTAAACTTTGATTACATCATTCGATAGCCTAAATTCTCTATTTTACTCTACATGAAAAAAAAATTTTTCTTAGGTTTTTATAAGTTTTAAAGTTTTTTCAATCAACCACTTGATTTTCTAGGTAAAAAATGATTTGGACACTTGTATTTCTCCTCTTATAGCGCTATTATTTGACATCAAAATATTTTGAGTTATACTTCAGTCGATAGAAAAAAAGTTCTCTACATGCTGGTATACTTTACAAACGAAAAAAATCTGGATAAAATCTCGAAATCCCTTGAGCACTGTAGGTTTTTCAGGAAATCTCAACTTTTTCTGTTTAGATAAGACAAAAACTGAAGGAAAAACTGAATCGATCTATGTTCTTTATTCTTAAAACTAATTAAATAAAAAAGGTACTAATTGCTAATTATAATTAGACGCTTCTGTGAATCCTTCATTAATCTTCATTTTTCCACTGGAAAACTAGCTTGAAAATTTTTTCTGAAGATATAGTCTTATAGAGAATTGAATTCTCTACAAAATGGTGTATTTGACTATACTCTAGCTACTTTTCTTAAAGATGATAAAACCCTATCTTTTCAAGCTCATTATAAGTGCACGAAGAAAAAAATTTCAACCCAGTTTTCCAAGTGAAAAAAGAAGATTATTGAAGGATTCACAGAAGCGTCTAATTGTAACTGGCAATTAGTAGCTCTTTTACTTAATTAGTTTTGTGAATAAAGAACATAGATCGATTCAGTTTGTCCTCCTCTATCGAATGATATATATATATTAAGTTCAGTTTTTGTCTTATCTAACCAGAAAAAGTTGAGATTTTCTGAAAAACCTACAGTGCTCTAGGAATTTCGAGGTTTTCAAGATTTTATCAGGATTTTTTCGTTTGTAAAGTATACCAGCATATAGAGGACTCTTTTTTTTATCGAATGAGATATAACTCAAAATATTTTGATATCAAATAATAGCGCTATAAGAGGAGAAATACAAGTGTCCAAATCATTTTTTACCTAGAAAATCAAGTGGTTGATTGAAAAAACTTTAAAACTTATAACAAACGAAAAAAATGTTTTCTTTTTCAAGTAGAGTAAAGTAGAGAATTTAGGCTATCGAATGGTGTAATCAAAGTTTAGAAAATGTTATTTCTTTATTGTGAAATCTGCAACACAAAATCGAACTCAAAAGTGTCCAAATAATTTTTTGAGATAGTGTAGATGCAATTGATACAATATTAAAAGAAAATATTTAACCGTCGAATGTCAAAGTGTGTTTGGTCTGTTCAACAAGAAAATCTATTTCTTCTGTGAACCATTGAACTTCATCTGCCTTAGCTAAAGCATCATGGACAGCAAGTACACATCGAATAAGAT